TTTTCCCCCCAAGGATATTGGTGCAGGTTAAAGAAAAAGGCGCAAGCCCCTCCCCCCTCCCTATCGCATGACGGAAACAAAAGAAAGCAAAAAGAGAGAGAGAGGGAGGGAGGGAGGTAGAGAGGGAGGGGGGAGGAGGGAGAGAGAGAGAGAGAGAGATAGGGAGAGAGAGAGGAGAGAGAGGGGGGGGGGGGGAGAGGGTAGAGAGAGAGAGAGAGAGAGAGAGAGATAGAGATGGACGGACAGCAAGAGAGGGGTATATAATAAGGACCACGAAAAGAATACAGTACAGTAGCCTTCAAGAGTACCCCCCCCCCCCCCATGTGCCATCCCCTATTTTCTAGTTGTCTTCACGTTTCATTCACCTGCTATGATCGGTGCCCAACATTATACCAGTAACATTGTTCAGATGAGAGATAGTGGTGCTAAGGAAGTGACTTCAATGCTAGATGTACAATTAAAGATAATCTGAAAATTTGAGTGAAAACGGACCATATTATTCATGTTACAAATTGGGAAAAACTGATCTGATCGATTCCTTAATTCTCCCAACTATATATTATTACAATTTAATTACATTTCAGGTGAATGCAAATCGTCACAAAGCAATAAATGGCTCTACATTCCATTCCAGACCTTAAGTGTTGACTGATTTTCTATAGCCTGGTTTATGTCTTTTTTTCATGAAAAAACGGTTGGGAATTTTTTTCAGGATATTTTGGATGTCAGAGGGTAAGTACAGTAGAAGGAATATAGTAAGTAACATTTTATACAAAAGTTAAGCAATTTTTTTCATCAACCTTCAACAAGGTTACCGAGTCACTAGCCAATTATGGCGCTGTGCATGGCCCCTGAGTTACATGCCCGAGAACTTTAATGCCGTCTATCTCATGCAGTGCGCCATCTTGTGGGATATTATTTATATACAACTATGACAACTTTTCTTCATTTTTCTTTTCTCCCCCCCCCCCCCCCCCCCCCCCCCCCCCCGATCCAGGCAGATTATATTAGATCGGTATACATCATGCAGGCATGGGTGACAATAATGCGTCCATCCACATCTAGATGAAAACATAATTGAAGATCCATTAAAAAAAATGTTTTAGCGAATAACCTTGAAAATTATGTTTGTTCTATTGGTACAATTTTGTATTTGGCTTCCATTGCGTTTAGTGTTTTTATTGTCATTGGGCTATAGACCCTTCCAGAGGATTTCGAGGAGACGAGGACGAAATCAAAGTTTTACCGTTATGCCGGTGTCATAGGCGATTTGTTCCGTGCAGGCGATCGGTTCCTCCGGAACTGATCGCCTGGATATGTACCCGCCGATTTGTTCCGGATTCGTAGATTCGTTCCGCTAGTCACAGGCGATCGGTTCCGGCCAGGCGATTCATTCCGTGGAACCAATCGGCGGGATATTTAGCCGCCGATCCGTTCCGAATCTCATCGGAGAGCGTGCGTGCTCACGTATTATTGAATACACGCCATGGTACACCCCTAAAGCAAAATGAACTATTCTGGTCGGCCTTTGCAACCAATCAAACTTCTCCAAATTAGCTACACCAACGATTGCCAATTGAGAACTTTGTATAGAAATGCAGATTCCCGTTGTTCAAATATGTTGATAATTGCGGCCAATGATTGACCACAAACAGTAACTATAGACAGCGCCGTCGCGAAGCGACGGGGACTGGGTCGGGTCTAGCAAAAAGGGCAGTTGTTGCCATAGGCTTAGTTTGCCTGTAAAAGCAGATGTCGGGGTGTTTTCTAATCAGGCCTTCTAATTTGGTTTGAATGCTGCTTTATATGATATCGTGTTACGTCAACCACCTATTACCGGGCTTCATCACAGAATCTAATTATGCATGTGGGCTGCATGAATGATGTACATGTAGTTTAAATGAAAGAGATGCGGGGTGGGGTGGGGGGGGGGCGGGGTCAACACAAAAAGAAATGAGTGGTCGAGCTGATAATTAAGAAGGACCAATAAAAAAAAAAGAAGAAGAAAAGAAGAGAAAGAAAATTCCTCAAGTAAAAGACGTGTCCGGCAGAATAAAAAAAAAAGAAATAAAAGAAAAACCCGACATATTTTGTTGAATTTTCAACCCTTGGTACTAGCCGACAAAAGTTAGTGTTAAACAGAGCCATAGCATAGTGTGTCTATACCCCCCCCCCCCCATTCCGCTACAGTGGCAGATCTGTTGCGCCCCCTTGTTTGGAAACCACTAATTTCACGTACATTTTCACGTACATGTAGGCCTAATATCAGAAAACTATCGCCTGCCCCCCCCCCCCCCCCCGTGCCGAGTATGCACGTGCGTGCATGCATATGATATACATGTACTCTATGCGCATATACTAGTCAGTAGGTTATTTATTTATTTATTTTTCGTACCGCGCGCGGGTAATTCCGTACGAGGTTATAAACCTTATTATTAAGTAATATTTCAAAAAAAATAATATTGGTTTTCATTCCAACAATAAATACAAAAGTATCAAGATAAAGCTAAAATTTATTTTTTACCATGTTTATTCGACACAAGTAATAAAAATATACGCGATTATATAAGCAGAAACGTTCGGCCAATGTCGGATAAGAACGGCGGCTTTCAAACGTATCTGCGAACGAGTCGATCCAGTAGATTCGTTCCGAGGAACAAATCGGCGCGCCGATTTGTTCCGCGGAACCCGGAACAAATCGCCTACCACACCGGCCATTATGAATCATCTATACATTTTGTTTGTCCTCATCATTGCAGAGGGCGCTACACAAAATAATTGTTCGTGAGATAATGAAAAACTGAGTGTCAAATTTGAAAGAAGGCATACAATTTAAATGACAAAAGCATCTTTGCTTGATCCAATTCGGTTAAGAGCCGGCTAAAATATCCATAAATATAAGCGTTTCTGATATCTATAGGGCCCCACAAAATTAATATTCGATAATTTTGAACCAACCATTGAAAAAACGAGATAGCGCCTTATATGTTTTATTCCAGTCAATGCCAATGTTGGCTTTTTGTTGGTTTTTTCGAGTTGGTTATAATGCGCACAACCAGCCGGCCCGTGTATTGTTAATTACTTATTAACGGTTACCGTATTTTTTTTTTAGTGGAGCTGAATTGGTATAATCGGATTTAATCTAAATTTCAACATTTTGGGGTCTAAAGTTACCTGGCAATTTTAGGTCAATAAGGGCACTCAGAAATGTCATAAATAAGAATAAGAGCAATAACCATGAATTTGAAGTCATACTAACCCATAATTTCTTGTTAAAATCACCACTGAACATTTGAGATTTATACTTCATTCGTAAAATGTCGTGAATATGTAATGTGGACATATTCCAAAACAAGACATTTTTTTTCCTGATGCAAATATTAGCTTACGATCTTCAACTCATTCATATTTTAAATTACGCAAGCAATTTATTGTAGGAAACAATCTACTATAATTTTTAAAGAAAAGAACGACTATATACTACTTATTCGACTAGTCAAATATCTAGTTTTAAGCAATTAGAATAACACCAAACACTGGTTTGGGGAATTGGGTCATGCATTAAAGATACTATGCCTCTTTTGCAGCCAACATCAAATTCTGTAGAACTTTGCAGGAATTATAAATATATCATGCATCTCCTATCTGTGGAATTTAAACGTTAGCAGTGTCCTAATATTCAACTTTGCAAGGAAACCCGTTTACTTGCTAGACTTCACTGTCAGACACTATTGAGTGACTGACTGATTTTTTTTCTTCTTTGGTAATAAAATACATAAAAGGAGCTGTAAATGGTACATGAGCATTATTTTGTCTACATCAATAACCGACTACTTGTAATGGCCAAAATCAAACTGATAAATATTTTTGCTCAGCATAAAACGTACGACCATTCGGTACAATGTTCTGAAAATCAGACTATTACTTACTGGCTCTATAGCTCTTAAGTCGATTCGACAACTAATAGAAAAATATCTTCTGTGTGCCCATGCCTTGAGCCATAATGCATGGCCGTACAGAAGATTGTTTTATGTTGGGGACCGGGGTAAAATGCAATGAATTATTGAAAATGTATTGCATTTCTTTGTTGTTTTTTTTTATTTGTGGGAACTGCCCCCTACCTTAGCCCCCGCTGCGTAAAGTCATGGTTCAGTGGCAAATCAATGGCCTCGTAACTGTGATCGAGGCCCCAGGATCAAAACCGTGTTCGTGTGATGTTGGTGCCCTTTTGTGGGGCGTTAATCCTCACTCATTTATGACTTAAGGGCGTAGGTCCCCTATAGTTGATAAGCATAGTAGTATACACATGCTTTAGCAGTCACGCAAAACAAACACTGGCAAATTATTATTCAATAAAATCTGAGAATGTATAGGCCTAGTATTATCTAGATCTATTAGGAATAAATCATTGTCAAAATAATTCCATAAATTCGGGTAAAAAAAATTATTCCAACTGTATGAGCGACAGTGTAGATCAAAATAATGTTGTCATCCGATACATTTCGTAAGAATTCTAGGTTTTCCATCCCATCTCCCTGGTATAAGCGGCCTGTATCCGTAGGGGATATGGCGGCGACATGGTTCCGGGAGTGGGGCGGATATATCCACTATCAGCCCGTCACACCCTTTGTTTACAAACAAAGGGAACCTTGTGCGAACGGATATAGATATGCCACATGCTAATTACGTAACCGTGTACAGTTACTTTCAGCCAATTCGTGTTTGATCTGGAAAGGTTTCCACGTGTTTCAAAAAGGCGATTTTGCCACTGAATGTAAGAAAAGGAGATGAAATCATCTCACAAAAAATGACAGGTAATTGGGCTGAATGGCTGGTTTTATTTTCTTTTCTGAAAATATATTAGACCCTGTGGTTCACAAAATGAGAGAGAGAAAAAAAAGATATCGCACTGATAAACAAAATCCCCTCTCTCAAAAAGCCGGTCATGTGACTAACGTCTAGCCAATGCACACCGGCGTTACAAAAGTGTTTGAGCAAGTCTCATACGAGCGTGGATATTGTAAATGGTAGGGGAGTTGTGGAGTTGTGTGTACAAGTATCCCGTACGAAGCTTTCCAACTTCAACCTAAATCAACTGCTCCTGATTAGCTAGACGCTCCATTTTCAGCATGTTCCAGCTCCTTTGGTGATTCTGGAAATGTAGATGTTTAATATTTTGAGCTAGAATGTTGGAAAATGACGTCCGAACAAGTGGGAGAAGTCATGACTTCGAACGCTCCCATTCCCGCTGAAGTAGGTTTGTCGACTGCCTACGATAGGTGAGCCAAGCGGACCATTTTATGACATTGAAAATATTTTGTTTTTTCGATTCTAAAATCTACTTTGAAATTTAATTTTTCGTTCATTATTTGTTTTTATCTTTTATTTCAGCCGACTTTTTGGATTCATGACGACGGAAGGGGAAGAGGGAGCCCAGAAAAAGGCCATGCTAAATAAGGTATGTTGATAAAAATAAATGTATGAATGGGGACGTACATAACCGGCGCGAATATACGCCAGTCTATAACGCCCTTGCACTGTGTTGCATGGATCTGTGTGTGTTAGATTCGCTTAGTCCTGGGTGTAGAAAGTCAACGTCGCAATGACCAATGTTTATCTGTTAAGTCAAAAAGGAAGGCTGAATATTGAATAAATATCATCTCACTATTAAAACCCAAGAATATAAAATTCTTATGCCTGGTGCAAATACAAATAACGCACGACCCAGCATTCGTTGGTGGGGAATGCAGTGCACGCGAGGTTTCTTTACTTGGTCATTGGTGCCGCCTCTGTGCACCATGGCGAGTTCACAGTGTGCACCATCTGAAGAAACCGAGCGTACACTGCATTTGAATCACGCACAACAGGGTCAAGTGCGTTATTAGTTTTATAAAATAGCGACACATGAAAATCAAAACGAACAAAAGTCTAAATCTAACGTTAGAGTCTAGATCTAGGAGAGTTATGTTGGTTCTAGAAAATAAAAAGATAAGAATTAAGACCTTGCTACTTGCTCTAGCTACCTGTATGCTGCGCTGGATATCGATCTTTTAGCGTGCAATATCACTTTTGCCAGCGCTGTTTTGGCACGATTGTACATGAACCAAAAATAGGTGCATGTCATGTGACATGTTTTGACTTATCAGGATGCTTAAAATACTATACTCAAAGACATTGGCCCGAATTCACAAAGCAAGGTTTGAGCTCAAACCTCCTTTTGTTTCGCCAAACCTCCTTTTGTTCTTTACAAACCAGGTTTGTAAAAAACGCGTAAAACGCGTCATATGACGTATGAAAACCAAGGTTTGTCGACAAACCTCCTTTGTGAATTCGGGCCTTTGAGTTTGAATATTAGAAATTTAGAATGATTCCAAAAAGAAGTAGATCTAGTCCTAAAACTAAAAAAGTAAAATAGATTTTGAATCTGATGGAGATTGAAAATTAAAATGAAGGATCAATGACTTTCAGTTTCACAGAGAGAGCTTAAAGGTAAAGACCAGTATTGGAAATGCCCCAATTTTCAAAAAATGAAATGCAAGCTCTTATTACCAATCATGTGAAAGAATATGTTTTGAATATTACATGATGATAACAATTTTGATGGGAAACCGCCTACTAGTTGATATATTTGGTAAATTTGTGTATCTCTCGCCTCTTGAGAGATATGAAATGCATGTGTTGCGCACGTGTGTGTAGTCCCATATACATCTTTCTGTGTACAGACTTGGCCAAATTTTTTATCATTTTGATGATTCCAGAACCTTGCAGTACATATGCTAGATGCTCAACCTTTTCTGATCGATTTCACAACGTTTCTTTCACAATGCAATCGCATGACCATAACTGGTCTTTAGCTTTAAGAAGAGTTAAACTAGCTTGTTCAGAGAAGGAACAGTGAACGGTTAACCGCTCCCAAAATGTGTAAATGAATTGCAACTACAAGCAACAACGTACCTGCGGGTATCGACAGAGCTCTGTGTTACATTAAGAAGTAAGAAACAGTGTCGAGTGTTTTACAATTTACGTTATCATAAAGAACTGCTGTGCCTGTTGTTTTGCCACTACATATCTGATCAAACATTTAACGTTAAGTGTCATATTGTTACTGTTGCCAATGACATTGGAGTTCCTGCTAAATTATGTTCTTTCCCTGGGTTTTGATTCAATTTAAATCTACATTACATGTACTTTAGTAGACAGAAAGATACTCATCAAGAGTATTATTAGGTCAGGATGATGCTCATCACACTCCTGCCATGAAAACCTCCACCATTTACAGGATTCAGACTTTTGTGTTGAAAACACAAAGATAATCACATCAAATAGGTTATCACCGTAGCAAATAGAATAATTGGCCTAATGATATCATACTTTTTAATATTTTTCATTCATTTGTCAAGCTACACTCCCTCTAATCTGTAATTGCCACACTCCAACCAGGTGAGGTAAATGGGTACCTTGTACGACTGTACCTTGAAATGCACTGTGCGCCAATAATAGGGACTTTTAGATTTCCACGACAAGAGCGTGGACTGCCGCGTGTGACATTGTGTTAAGGCACTGGGCCATGCCCGGCAGTGCCTTAAAAGGATGTCACAATACCTTAAAAGGATGTCACACGTGGCGGTCCACGTTCTCGTCGTGTAAATCTAAAAGTCCCTAATGACTGCCAGAGCCAAAGCCAGGCAAATAATTTAGCTCTACGGAAGCACATAGGGACATTGTATCATAATGTGATGTGCACTATACCCATTGTTAAAGTCGTAATAAAACCATATCTGAGTATCCAATAAAAAAAGGTTTGAGGATTTCTTTCTTTCTTTCTTTCTTTCTTTCTTTCTTTCTTCCCTTTTAATGACATGGAGCACAATGTAAATCACTTTTAAGTATACTGGGAAACACTGGAGGGTTGTCTAAACATTGCAGACATTTTTGAGTGTTTAAGAATATTTTATTTGATTCACTATGAGTCATGTTTGGCAAAGCACTTATCAAAGAATGAGAGTAAATCTGTAGACTAAAAACACAAACACAAATGGTAGAAGATAGTACCTAAATGGTTTTGAAAAAAATTGCAGTCTCAAAATATGACGTTGAATGTCAGATAATCAAAAGATGGCAAACAATGAAAATGTTAACATTGAACAAACGTGAGTTTACATCAGATTTTTAAAGAATAAGTTCGGTCTGGAAATACTGTAGGTAACTTTTTAATAAAAGCATGAATATAAAAGGGTTTGAGCCTTTGAGGAAATGTTATTATTAATAATAATAATGATAATAACTATTTCTTATATAACGCTTTTCAGGACCGAAGGCCCTATAAAAGCGCTTTATTACCCTAGTCATCGGATTCAGGCTTACCCGCACACAATGTATGAACATTCTCTACTCCCTGGGGAGCATAAATGTCATGTTGGACACGATGAAAACTACTGATTGGTGTAAATTATGATTTTTTTTTCTTCAACCTTTCCTTACAGGTTTTCTAAATTGTCAGTACAGTCCCACATGCTCAATATTTTGTCGTATTTTGGGATGTGTACATGTATGTATTTCTCAGTTCATGTTTGACTGCTTGGTTTACATCAAAAGGCTGAAAGGAAATTAGTATACAACATGTTACAGCAAGAGTCAGATATGTTTTCACAAGTTTTTATTAAAAATACAGTCAGAATACTTGTAGGCCTTCATCACTATACATACTACAGTCAAACCCGCTTCAGCAAACCACCTGTATAGAAAGACCATCTGTTTTTAAGTTTTCCTTGAACATATCTTATTAGAACATGTAGTAAATGAACCTGTACATAAGACCACCTGCCTATAAAGACCACTTTACACATGAAAGCTAACAAACTTTCATTTATTGTCGACAGATGATGTATTGAATTGTACTGGCTTGAAATACGTGCATGTATGTATGAGTACAGGGTAGGCCTACTTCTGTTAGTCTACCCTGACTTATTTTAAATAAATGCATAGACACGGGTCACTGAAAGTGAGAACATGTGATAACAATTGGGAGATTTCTCAAACTTTAAAATCAATGTTCCTTTCAGAAATTGGCAACTCTGTGATCTCTATAAGGCACTTTGTTTATTTACTGTATTTTTAAATACATGTTTGCAATTTTCAATAGGTACTACATGCACAGCTAAACCATGTTCAGATATTTCAATTCTACCAAATAAAAAGTTGATCTGCTGCCCTCTTGTGCAAAGCCAGATCAGTGGCCTATTTGTGTTGTACACTGTATTCTCTTTAAAGCAGAAGGAACAAGTGACAACCTGTATTTCAGTTGCTTACAAAGCATTTCAGTTCTTTTTTAGTAGATTGATCACGTTGAAGCTGTACAGAAGCTACAGTAGTGTAACTTACTTGTGTCTTTGGAATTCATTTAATTCAAATTATGCTATGGAACACACTCCTAGGGACCCCTGTTACCCCTCCCCCATGAACAACTGTTCCTCAGAATGAAGTCTTCCTCCAGAAAGGGGGAAGGGGTTGCCGGAGGGAGGTAATTGTTGAAGGGAGGGGGGGGGGGGGGGGGGAGCCGGAGTTTTGTCCTGCTATGCAGATCTTTCATTTCAGGTACAATTCTAATATATCAGCTACACATTTACATTCTCCTCTTTGAAGGTGTGCACATTGCGTACATGTACCATTGGGGGGAGGTGGAGGTAGAAGGAAGGGTATGCATAATGCAGTAGAGAGAGAGAGAGGGGGCGGGGGGGGGGGGGGGGGGGGGAGTGTTGAGGGGGTGATCACTTTCTAGGGGTACGTATCATGATGCACTTAATATCTTTTCATCCCTGGTGCAAGCTCTCATTCATCTGGCCCTGGTTTCCATCGGAGGTGTGCATACAGTACCAATATTGGGCAATTTAAAATTACTATTTACTGACCATTTTGTTATTGGCGCTCCTACTTGAGTCTTTTCTCTTTAATTTACATGTTTGTTTTACTTTGAGTTTGATCTATCGCATCGGTCAAGAGTTTGACCTGAGTCGTTTGACCTAGGAAAGCATTCATTTCACATGTCCAATTAAACCCAATTTGGCCAAACATGAATGAAATTAAAATAGAGAAATGCAATTTGAGTCGCAATTTGCTCTGATGGAAAGTAGCAAAATCAGAGAAGCTAATTGGTGAAAGTTTGACCAAAATCAGACAAACAATAACGAAAGTTATAAATTCAAAATGAAGATGTAATCACTATATAGGATTTAAAAAATTGGCAAATCAGTGGTTACACTTTGTGTCTGAAGGCTCTAAAATCTTAAAATATTCTACAAATCTGCTACTCTGATGTTATGCTTTCACTCAAATCAACTTGTGAGAAAGAATGACTTTTTAGAGGCAAAGGTCTGATTTCATGGAGGGGGAAATTGCATTGAATAAACTGAAGTTCTTGTTTCTTGCACCTTATTTTAGTCCCAAGACAAGTGGGGGCGCTCTAGAAGCGCTTTAGAATTAAAGGGATTGGGTAACTTTGTCTCAGATTCTGAAACAAAATCCTGGATTTAGCTCATGCTGCAATGATAATTGTAAACCTTTAGGACAGTCAGGAACCCCATGACTTTTACAAGTCGATCGTCTGTCTGATTATCAAGATATTTATGATTGGAAATCAAAATCAAATTTTGCGTTTTTCAAACGGTTTTCATAACCCTACTGTCTATTGGGGAAAATGAGTAGGGTAAAACCGATCACTCAAAGATTTTTTTCTTTTTTGAGGCACTACTTGGTCATTTTGAAGCGCAATTTTTTTAGGACTTCAATTTTACATCATATCACAGACACTGAAAACGTGTAGGGCTGTGAATCTCAGATTCAACATTGTTAAATGATGCCTTTAAGGCACATTATGAAAGCTAACTTGATGATTACTCACATTATCCAGTTATGGTTCAGAGACTACATTGTCGTTAAGTTTTCCCAGGGCCCAGGGCGAACCTCTGTTTGTGTTTTTGTGAAAATTTGGACTTGTTTACGCTGGCGTGAATAGGACGTATGTAGGTCAGGTCGCATCGCTCGGTTGGCAGCATGTGATTGAGTAGCTCTTGTTCACATCGATGAAGGTTTCATGGGATGGGACATGATTTTCATGAGAGTTTGTAACGAGAACATGCAAATATAATTTGTGGATATAAAGAGAATGTTATTTGGGAGTTGGGATTGACTATGAATGCCTATACCTGCTTTAACGGCCACCTGTCTATAAAGACCATAATTTGTCTTTCCCTTGGATAAGATTTATCATTAAAGTCTTTGCTAAAGGAACCTGTACATGAAGATCACCTGCCTATAAAGACCACTTTCATGTTTCCCTTGGTGGTCTTTAGATACAGGTTTCACAGTATTAAAGCTGATGCAAAGTTGTCACTGGATTAGGACATTTGTGCAAGTACAAGTATTTGTCGCTGGTATATTAGTCAAACAAAATTAGTACATTGTATGTACATGGTATGTACATATTTGGCAGTGAAAGAGCCGATAATTGAAACTTGAAACTACAGGACTACATATGAATTTCAAAGAGTACATCTGACTTGTCATTTAAAAAGTACAAATTTAATACATTATCCCGAAGGGGCCAAGAATCAGGAGTCAGTCCTCAAGTGTGTCTGAGGTGTTACTATTTATGTAGAAATGAATCTGCAACTATTTATGTTCTTGTCTGTGTTTGTCTGATGCTTTATTGAAAGGAATCTTGTAAAATTGGTTGAGATATAGGTTGTCCATGTTTGTCCATGCATTAGGTATCCAACCTTTTTGGCAAGTTGTTTTGAAGGAAAGCAGATAATTCAAAGAAACAGAATTGGTGAAAGTTTGAATGCAACATGTTGTATTATACTTGTAGACTACTTGTGTAGCATACTCTACGTGTTTATCCAAAATCAGTCCACAATGTAATGATTTATGTGTGCTTCTACCTGATGTCGATCAATAAATATGAATCACTGTCTGTCTCTATACCTCTGTCTTTCTCATTCTCACCCACTCTCTCCTGCATTTTTTTGTTCTCATTCACTTTCTCTCTCTTTCTGTATCTTTCTCTCTCCCTCTCTCTCAATGATATATGTTTGCTTTTATCACTGATATTGATCAATAAATATTAACCCCCCTTCTCTCTCTCTCTCTCTCTCTCTCTCTCTCTCTCTCTCTCTCTCTCCAGGCCATTGCCCAGCTTGAGCAGGAGATCAAGAAGAAGGAGGTCAGTGACCCTAAGATCTACTGCAAGCTGGGACACTACCATTTACTGCTGGGAGAATATAGCAAAGGTCAGTGAACTTTCCAGAGCACTTTTCGGAAGTGACCCATCTACTGTTAACGTTTTCATTTTCAGGGAGAAGAGGGTTGAGTCATTCTTAGTCTGGGGTGATAGCTACAGTGTACCTGCTCGATCTGCATCTCAAATTGTGGCGAATCTATTTCCATTTCAGACTAGGGCTAGACATGACCTCCTTATCGAAGCGGATCGAGAAGTCCACACTACAGTATGTGCAGATCGAGTCATATATTAGGCCCTTATAACTCAATGTTGAGTTTCCCGTCACATTTTTTTCAGCTCATAATGAGGCAACTATTTCATTATTCATTATTTGCAAGATTCCTTTATGTTAACTTTTTACGAGCACTTAATTCATTTATGTTGGTTCAACTTGTGTATTTCCAGTTTGTTAACTTAATACATGTATGAACATCTCACATCTCATTACATACACATTGTTAGTATCTTGATTATTTTCATGAATACAGACATCAAATATTGTTTTTAAAAATCTCACACACACATGCTATAAATCCAAATAGAGGAATACTTTGATAGTAAAAAGTGTGACAAACCTTTCTACCATAATTCACAATATATTTAAGGACATGTAGTATTAGTTCCAAGATATACATGATTCACAGCATACATTTACACATGAATTACTCAAAGCATCTTATTCTGTATTAAATGCTTGTTTTCATTTTTCAAATGTCTTTATTCTTTCCTGACCTCAAATTTTGTTATTTCAGGGCTTTTGTAAAACAGAAGAATGTTCCTTCATGCATTAAAATGGATGAACAGTAGCTGTAGCTATTATTATGCTGAATTAAATTGGATAGATTTGTTAAAGAGTTACAGTGGAAGCTGGTATTTAAAAAAAAAACAGAAATATTTTAAGACAAAAAAAAGAACGAGTCCATATAAAACAATAACAGTTTGCAATTCACAATGGTAATTCAGAAGTCGAACTGGAAAGAAAAAAATATTACCCAAAAAACAAAAGTTAAAAAAAAAAGTTTTAAAAAAAAAAGTTAAAAAAAAGAAAGAAAAAAAAGAAAGAATTATTTTCAGATTTTCGATCGCCAACGCGTCCAATAAATCACAGTGCGGGCGGGCGACGGGAAACTTAACATTGAGTTATAAGGGCCTTAGCTTATGATTCCATACTCGGTCCACTTCGTCCCTTAATATGAAAGGGGCGATAGATACCCACTCAATCTGCATCTCAAATTGTGGAGAACTCAGTTCCAGTTCATACTAGAGCCAGATACAACCCTCCTTATGGAAGCGTATTGAGAAATCAATGCTGAGTGTAGATCTAAGTCATGTATTACCTTATGATCCAATACTCAATCCTCTTCATCCCTTAATATGAAAGGGGCATATTCCTATTCTGTTTTAGAATTTTATTGTTTTTTGCAAGAGCTCTTTTTGGAATTACCACAGCTTTTTTGGAGCTTTTGGAGCTCCTGAACAAATAAAACATGTAACAGAAGATAAGATTTAATAATTGGCAACAAGAGAATCATAAGCAAATTTCCCAAGAAAAAAGTAAAATCGTGGCAAGATTCAAGCTGTCAGTTTCTATTTTCTTATGGACTCCATAGATGGAGACAATTTTACGGCAAAAATAATAATTTTAAACTGTGTGAAAAGATATATTCGAACTTTACTTGATTTTGTAAAATGTTGGAGCTACTGAATAACCTTCTTTGCCATCTTTTTCCTTGTTATTCACAGCGCTATCAGCTTACCAGAAGTTCTTCACGTTAGATAGCGAATACTGGAAGGTAAGTAAAACAAAATCTTGTGGAGAACTTCCGTCAAGATTAAAAATGTTTTCAAATCACTAATCACACCAATAGGAGGGCAGGGCTTAAATTAATCCAAGGCCACCAAGGCCATGGCCTTGGATGCTCCTTTGATTGGCCTCAATGCCCCTCTCATTGGCCTTGGAGATTTGTTGTGCCCTTTCCAATTCTTCCTATTTGTGCTGTAATATAGGAATGTGCCCTACAGAAAAGTGGCCTTGCCCTAAAAATATTGAAATTTAAGGCCTCTGAGGCTGTGTCCTGCATCATGAACCTTTTCCTAGACAGAAACCTTCTGATAAGAGAAATTCTTCAATTAAAATGTACACTTATGGGAGTTTTTTAATTGCGATTTAAAAAATAATTTTCTGTAAAATCGACCTACACATCAAACTATAAAAACAGAAACTTATGCATGCTTGACACTGATTTTTAGCATTCCAGGGATGCGTACATTTCCTTTTCTATTCCCTTTTTCTAGTGGATTTTATACCAAACTTTTGATGATTTTTGTTCCGCTTTCTTTGTAGGATGCAACCTTTCTCTATGGACTGGGTATGGTCTACTTCCATTTTAGCGCCTACCAGTGGTAAGTCCCATCTAATTCTTTTTGTGTTTGTTTGTCGTTAGTGAAGTGTCCTACTACATGTACATTTGTTTACGTGTATCTTTGCGAAGTCTGTGTACTTATTGTGTGTGACATTTAGGGACCTGTACTATTAAGTGCTATAGATTTCTTTTATGTTTGTGGGTGCATACCTTTGCTGGGGAAAAGTTGAATTCCTTTTTGTGGACATCTTTGAAGAAAATTCCCTGCTGATTATACATATTCGATCTTATTATATTAAGGCGTGTAGCTATATGCTTTAGGCTACTTTATTGTGTGTGTGTGTGTGTGTGTGTGTGTGTGTCTGTGTTAGTGCATTGATGGATGAAAGAGTGCTCAACAGTTTGCTCATACTTTTGTGAATATATTCTATTGATGTTCCTCCTGTTGACGTACAGTTGATCAATATGTCTGCCATAACTATAAATAAAAGTGTCATTTTTAGGGAGAATCTATGCTGCTGATAACTATGATATTGATGCAAAGATACTCAATATCACAAGTCATTATTTTATTTTTATGAACTGTTATATATTGTGTGTGTGTGTGTGTGTGTATTTTGGATGTTGTAGAAATAGCAACGAAGTTACGAAAGCTTTTTAATACAGATCATCACAAAATTAGCATCTGGCTACTTAACAAATGTAAACCACAATAAACTTAAAGTCCAACTGCTTTGCCGGTTACTTCCATTTTTAACCAGCATCAAATGAAATAAGCCAGGATGCATCGCCAAGAAATATTTTCAAGAGTATCAAGTTCCCTGTCTCCATTTTGACTGGTGTGGAGTAATCCTCACTAATCAAGTTTTCCTTCTTTATTTCCAACACCTTAGAGTATATGTATTTAGTACAGTATTGTTATTTGAAGTTCATTGGTCACATTACACATACAGAACCCTAGAGAATCTTGCTTTGACAGGGAAAATTGTGGGAAGAAGGAGTAGGGGAAGAAGGAGTAGGGGAAGAAGGAGGATACTTTGGATGGACAGTCTGCAGAAATTGTTGGAAGAGAGATGAGTGAATGAACTGGGAGTGGTACTAATACAGAAGGCTAGAAGCCAAAGGTTGTGGAACAGCATGATCGCCAAAGTCAAACGATATGGCACTTAGAGAGAGAGAGAGAGATTGTTATTTATGTTTCACCATGGTGTAGGGTATGGAAAGCCAAAGCTATTGTGCCCGGCGGTACTCCATTGTGAAGGATTACTTTCCTGAAGTGAGCCCTCTCTAGAGATTTGCAGGCCAATCCCCTTTTTATGTAATTCGAGCTGAGAATCTGAAATCTCTTTGTGTTCGTTCTGCCTCTATGCACGAGCACCAGACTCACGCAAAGTAGTCTTGCATAAAGGGAAATGTGTCAGTTTAACTACTGTGTACATTTATTTTCTAAATCCCACTATGCCTATTATTCTATCCTCCTGCCATGTCAGGAAAGGCTATGCACTGTCAAAAAACGATTTTCTTTGAGAAAATAGGCTAGGAGCTTCAAATTGAACATTCTGGAAATACTGTATACTCCCCCTTTTTTTTAAAGAGAAAAGGAGAGATCGCTTTGTAATATAGAGCATGTTTCCTATCTCGGATTCTATCTATTTCTAGATTGGAGTACCATGCAAAAATCCACCTTGATTAACCTTTATTGAAGGAATCATTCAAAGTTAGTATTATCTGTTGTACTTGATCAATATTTCTTCCTCAATTACAATTATACAGAGATTCCTGTTTCAGGCCATAGCCTGATTTCCAGCCTTGAAAACCTCACAATTTCATGCTCTTTCAGGCTTTATATTTATTATACAGCACATTTGGAGCACACTCCAAAATATTACAGTCTCTCGTCAGACTTCTTGGGTGAAACCTACTGGTATCCCTGATAATAAAATGTTGTGTCTGAAACCTAGGTTACTACAAGGTCAGCCTCTTGCCCTAGAAAGGAAAGTGTATCAGTCGGAAAGCAGTTCCTCTCTAAATTTTCTGTTTTTTTCTTCTTACTGAATTAATTTCAATTAGATAGTTCGCATCATGTATTTTGTTTTCCTTCGATCCTTGTGTACTGGTGTGTGTTTTCCTACATGAATAGAACATGGTGAATATCTGCTGGAACACTAAAATCTGATTTTCAGTATATAGATTATGAGTGTAAATCTTTCTGAAAAAAAAAAATCACCAAGGACATTATTTGTAGTTGACACCTTATGAAATCTAACATTTATTCACTCTTGCCTTAATTTTTCAAGAAAAAGGCATAGAGACCTGAAAATTAGAAAAAATACACAATGAATCGAAATAACAAACAACAAAAGAATTTTTTTGGTGGGTGGGGACAACCAGGAAATGTATTGATGACGTGAAGTGAAGCCCAACCGATTAAGAAGTAGGAATGTGGTATACACAAAGAAAAAATGACATACGGCATTGAAGAGTGCAATGTTTTTAAATTTTTGAAGATATGAAAACACATTCAGATTCAAACCTTGGCTGTCTGGAACATTTATTTAATGGAACATTCTTGAAATGAATGCTTGCATGTGATCTTGACAGTGTTTAAAAAAGTTTAGAATACCGGTAATAGGGAAATAATTGAATCTATCCTTCATTATATTGAGTATTATATGTGTGCAGATATGCGCATATAATAATAATAATCTATTGTTAACATATTGACATGTTTGCATCTGCACATGGAAACTGACTACCCTCTCCCTTCATACATACTGTTCAGTGCCAGAAGGGCGTTTACTCTGTGTTAATATATATGATTTAAAGCCCTTCTGGCTCCAAATGCACACATTGTACAAATTGTATGCCTGCACTTTACCTTATTAAATATTGACCTACTTGTGCATGTGCATCTATCTGTGCGCATATCTTATGACCTAGATTCAGATAATCGAGTGAGATGAGTGTTTTTTGCCTGCAGTAAAGGCAAGGTAGAATGAGTTGTAGGCCAGGTCACAATAGGCCTGTTTTCATCAGCTTGAGTTTTTGCCAAATAACCCGATATTTTCAGACTCGCTTGAAATTGCGTCCTCACCAGACTGATATGCTCATCAAAAACTAGCTAGGACGGGCGCAAATTAGCCTGCTATTTTCTAAATAGCGGGATATTTTGCATTTTGGAAACAAGACCAAGTGACCGGTTTTACCATACTCATTTTCCCCAATAGACTGTAGTGTCATAACAACTGTTTGGAAAATGAAAAAAAAATTGATTTTGATTTCCAATCATAAATTATCAGACAGGCGATTGGCTTGTAAAAGTCATGGGGTTCCTAACTTACCTAAAGGTTTATTGTCATTGCAGCAGGAGCTAAATCCAAAATCTGAGACAAAGATACCCAATCCCTTTAAAGGGTTGGGCCCTTCCGGCAGCTCATGAGAGAAGGATTGTCTAGAGATGTTTTTTAAAAATCATAATAACAATATCATAATAAAGCATTCTTGTATGAAGCATATCACATCCAGTCTAAAGTGGGTCTAGTCTCGTTCTGGTTCATTTTGCTTTTGGTGACAATGCCTGATGCACTGTGAACTGATTTCTCTCATTGTCCTTGCAATAATGGAGATATAGAGATTGATGATTGAATACCGTACCTTTCAAACTTGTGCATAATAAAGGGACAAAAGACCCCATGTACTGCCATAACTGATGATTTTCCATGAAACTTAATTGATGTTATTGCTGTGCTGTGAAGGAAAATGGTTTACAGAAAGGGTTGAGTTGGCAGCTCTCAAATTGAGGTCAGATGGTGATTTTGCTGGGGAATGGCTTAATTAGAAAGCACTGGGTCTTCGGTTGAAAGGGTCAAGACTTGGTAGTTTGATTGGTCAGCAGGGATGCAGGTTTATACTAGTAGATATGCAACCATGTACATGTAGGTCAATATCGCCAGACAACATGTAGGTCACTAGCGAAAGGGCATCTGCTGAAAAGAGATTCTTAGCAGAATTGTTGTTTTAGAAGGCTGGCAGCTCACCAATCTTGCATGGTACAATGCAAATTCTGGATCTTTAAAAATTATATAGTTAGTTGCTAGAGTTTGCTTCTTGTAAATACATCTTCCTGTTTAGCTCCCTTCATGGAAATGATTTGTATGAAATACATTCCTATTTTACTAGTTGTCAGTTAAGTTCTTTGTTCTCTGCTCTTCATAACGCTTTCATACATATACATTTCATAAGTCCATCTAATTTTACAAGTGTGTAAAATTAAGATTCTACATGTAGCAGCCACAAATGTCAAAGAGAGAGAGAGAGAGAGAGAAAGAAAAGAAAAGAAAATAATGTACCGTAAATCTCCGTGTATAAGGCACACTTTTTTGCCGCCGAAAAAATTTGCGTCTTATACACAGGTACAGAATTTTTTTTTTTTTTTATTTTTTTTTTTAGTTTCGATTTATGGCGCTATGCCTGGCAAAGTCTCCTAGCTCAGTAATCAGTGTGTTGACTCGCCACTCGGAAACCACAACAACACTCAAATTTGTCTGTCATCTTGGTTTGAAAGTAATCTTTCTAATAGATCTCAATATGTAGTTTATAATAATAATTCCTCAATTTTTTTTCTATAACAAATGGTGTACCACAAGGTTCTATCCTAGGTACTCCATTGTCAGAAATTTAGAGGATGCTATTCATATCATGCATGACTATTGATGTTTGGCATAAAACACAGTGCTTCTGCTAGGTGATGTGAGGAGGCTGGTGTGGGACACTTGGTATCATGAAGCCTTAGACTGTTGTTACTATTATTTGTGACAAGTTCACAACTTCAACTGCACCTCGATGTAAAATGAAGGTCCTTCCCCGTGTGCGTTTTCGGCAACAAAACATCAACAAAACAAAAAACAATTTTTTTTGTTTTTTTTGTTTTTGCCCTCAAAATAGGGGTGCGCCTTATACACAGGTGCGCCTTATACACAGAGATTTACGGTACTGGATAGGAGATTGGGTTTTGAAGCCTGATATTTAATGTCTGTTCAGAGCCAGAAGGTGTTAACTAAAACCCATGATACTTTCTCTTGTTTCTCTTGTTCCATATAAGGCCATGTAAAAAAATATACATGTTTAGCGTACCCGCCGCTTCCTTTTTGGGGGCTGCCTCCTATTTTTTTTTTTTTTTAATTAAAAAAAAAAAATTTTTGGATTTTTTTTGGATTTTTAAAAAAAAATTTAAAGAAAAAAAAACATGAAAAACACTGCTAAAATGGATCTATTTCTGATTTTAAAAAAAATTAAAAAATTGAAGGCCGCCATCTTAAAAAATAGCCCGAATGTCAGGGAAAATGTACCGAGCGGCCATTTTGAAAGAAAAAAAAAGGGACTCCTCCTTCCTATTTTTCGAAAAAACAGGACGCTAAACATGTTTTTTTTTTATGTGGCCTAACCAGAAAATAAAAGATTAACTAATATGTAGCCTACATGTCAAACAAATTGAAAACTATCATCATACCTGTATGTTTTAAAGGGATCCGGTAACTTTGTCTCAGGATGTCTCGGATTTAGCTCACGATGCAATGATAATTTTAGCCCTCAAAATGCAGCTCATCAGCGTGTGGACCGACCCGCCATGCTGCTTTGATGCAGCAGGCATCCGTTTATGCATGACTTGATGACATCTTGCCTTCCCCTTCAGTGCAGAGCACACGGCATCAAGACAATATTTACATTTATTTGGCGGCGACGACGGCCGCAAAACGCATCCCCACTGTGTGGATGCTTCAAATACTATCCGCGACGATGCAGGGATTTTAAAATCGAATTGGCAACAGTATAACAAAAAAATAATTTGGGGATAACAGCGATATTGGTATAACAGGAAATGAAGTAGTTCAGTAGAATAGTACATTTGGACATGAACTGGGGTGAAAAGGGTACATACAATTTCAGGATAAGTCAAGCTTTCTAAACATGTGAACATTTGAATGTGCTAATATGTAGCCTACATGTCAAACAAATTGAA